AGCTGGGCTTTACGGAAGAGTGTCAAGAAAAAATCCATTGCTTAAAGAAAAAAATAAGCAAACACGTTTGGTGTTCGCCAAAAGCCATGTGGGAGACTCCCCAAACATATGGAAGAAGGTACTCTGGTCAGATGAGACTAAAATTGAGCTTTTTGGCCATCAAGGAAAACGCTATGTCTGGCGCAAACCCAACACCTTTCATCACCCCGAGAACACCATCCCTATAGTGAAGCATGGTGGTGGCAGCATCATGCTGTGGGGATGTTTTACATCGGCAGGGACTGGGAAACTGGTCAGAATTGATGGAATGATGGATGGCGCTAAATACAAGGAAATTCTTGAGGGAAACCTGTTTCAGTCTTCCAGAGATTTGAGACTGGGACGGAGGTTCACCTTCCAGCAGGACAATGACCCTAAGCATACTGCTAAAGCAACACTCAAGTGGTTTAAGGGGAAACATTTAAATGTCTTGGAATGACCTAGTCAAAGAAGAGACCTCAATCTTATTGGATTTAAAGATTGCTGTACAGTCGTGGTCAAAGGTTTTGAGAATGACACAAGTATTGGTCTTCACAAAGTTCGCTGCTTCAGTGTTATGAGATATTTTTGTCAGATGTTACTATAGTATACTGAAGTATAATTACAAGCATTCCATAAGTGTCAAAGTCTTTTATTGACAATTACATTAAGTTTATGCAAAGAGTCAAGTTTTCTGTTTTTTATCTTATTTCTTGTTTGTTTCGCAAAAAAATATATTTTGCATCTTCAAAGTGGTAGGCATGTTGTGTAAATCAAATGATACAAACACCCAAAAAATCCATTTTAATTCCAGGTTGTAAGGCAACAAAATAGGAAAAATGCCAAGGGGGGTGAATACTTTCGCAAGCCACTGTATGCTTGGGGTCATTGTCCATTTGGAAGACCCATTTGCGACCAAGCTTTAACTTCCTGACTGATGTCTTGATGTTGCTTCAATATATCCACGTAATTTTCTTTCCTCATGATGCAATCTATTTTGTGAAGTGCACCAGTCCCTCCTGCAGCAAAGAACCCCCACAGCATGATGCTGCCACCCCTGTGCTTCACGGTTGGGATGATGTTCTTCGGCTTGCAAGGGACTCCAAACATAGCGATGGTCATTATGGCCAAACAGTTCTATTTTTATTTCATCAGACCAGAGGACATTTCTCCAAAAAGTACGATCTTTGTCCCCATGTGCAGTTGCAAACCGTAGTCTGGCTTTTTATGGCGGTTTTGGAGCAGTGTCTTCCTTGCTGAGCGGCCTTTCAGGTTATGTCAATATAGGACTCGTTTTACTGTGGATATAGATACTTTTGTATCTGTTTCCTCCAGCATTTTCACAAGGTCCTTTGCTGTTGTTCTGGGATTGATTTTCACTTTTTGCACCAAAGTACGTTCATCTGTAGGAGACCGAACGCGTCTCCTTCCTGAGCGGTATGATGGCTGCGTTGTCCCATGGTGTTCATACTTGCGTACTATTGTTTGTACAGATGAACGTGGTACCTTCAGGCATTTGGAAATTGCTCCCAAGAATGAACCAGACTTGTGGAGGTCTACAATTATTTTCGAGGTATTGGCTGATTTTCTTTTGATTTTCCCATGATGTCAAGCAAAGAGGCACTGAGTTTGAAGGTAGGCCTTGAAATACATCCACAGGTACACCTCAAATTGACTCAAATTATGTCCATTAGCCTATCAGAAGCTTCTAAAGCCATGATATCATTTTCTGGAATTTTCCAAGCTGTTTAAAGGCACAGTCAACTTAGTGTATGTAAACTTCTGACCCACTGGAATTGTGATACAGTGAATTATAAGTGAAATAATCTGTCTATAAACAATTGTTGGAAAACGTACTTGTGTCATGCACAAAGTAGATGTCCTAACCGACTTGCCAAAAAATTTGTGGAGTGGTTGAAAAACAAGTTTTAATGACTCCAACCTAAGTGTATGTTAACTTCCGACTTCAACTGTGTGTGTGTATGTATGTATGTATGTATGTATGTATGTATATCAATATATATATATATATATATATATTCACAGTGAGGGGAAAAAAGTATTTGATCCCCTGCTGATTTTGTACGTTTGCCCACTGACAAAGACATGGTCAGTCTATATAATTTTAATGGTAGGTTTATTTGAACAGTGAGAGACAGAATAACAACAACAAAATCCAGAAAAACGCATGTCAAAAATGTTATACATTTATTAGCATTTGAATGTGGGAAATAAGTATTTGACCCCTCTGCAAAACATGACTTAGTACTTGGTGGCAAAACCCTTGTTGGCAATCACAGAGGTCAGACGTTTCTTGTAGTTGGCCACCAGGTTTGCACACATCTCAGGAGGGATTAACGTTTCGAGGCTGACGTTTGGCAACTCGAACCTTCAGCTCCCTCCACAGATTTTCTATGGGATTAAGGTCTGGAGACTGGCTAGGCCACTCCAGGACCTTAATGTGCTTCTTCTTGAGCCACTCCTTTGTTGCCTTGGCCGTGTGTTTTGGATCATTGTCATGCTGGAATACCCATCCACGACCCATTTTGAATGCCCTGGCTGAGGGAAGGAGGTTCTCACCCAAGATTTGACGGTGCATGGCCCCGTCCATCATCCCTTTGATGCGGTGAAGTTGTCCTGTCCCCTTAGCAGAAAAACACCCCCAAAGCATAATGTTTCCACCTCCATGTTTGACGGTGGGGATGGTGTTCTTGGGGTCATAGGCAGCATTCCTCCTCCTCCAAACACAGCGAGTTGAGTTGATGCCAAAGAGCTCGATTTTGGTCTCATCTGACCACAACACCTTCACCAAGTTCTCCTCTGAATCATTCAGATGTTCATTGGCAAACTTCAGACGGCCCTGTATATGTGCTTTCTTGAGAAGGGGGACCTTGCGGGCGCTGCAGGATTTCAGTCCTTCACGGCGTAGTGTGTTACCAATTGTTTTCTTGGTAACTATGGTCCCAGCTGCCTTGAGATCATTGACAAGATCCTCCCGTGTAGTTCTGGGCTGATTCCTCACCGTTCTCATGATCATTGCAACTCCACGAGGTGAGATCTTGCATGGAGCCCCAGGCCGAGGGAGATTGACAGTTATTTTGTGTTTCTTCCATTTGTGAATAATCACACCAACTGTTGTCACCTTCTCACCAAGCTGCTTGGCGATGGTCTTGTAGCCCATTCCAGCCTTGTGTAGGTCTACAATCTTGTCCCTGACATCCTTGGAGTGCTCTTTGGTCTTGGCCATGGTGGAGAGTTTGGAATCTGATTGATTAGGAGCACTCCCTTTAAGAGTGTGCTCCTAATCTCAGCTCGTTACCTGTATAAAAGACACCTGGGAGCCAGAAATCTTTCTGATTGAGAGGGGGTGAAATACTTATTTCCCTCATTAAAATGCAAATCAATTTATAACATTTTTGACATGCGTTTTTCTGGATTTTTTTGTTGTTATTCTGTCTATCACTGTTCAAATAAACGTACCATTAAAATGATAGACTGATCATTTCTTTGCCAGTGGGCAAACGTACAAAATCAGCAGGGGATCAAATACTTTTCTCCCTACTGTACACACACACACACACACACACACACACACACACAGAAAAATTCCCTACACACACACACTACGAAGATGAAACTTTCTCCCTGTCCCTATTTGAATACACCTTCACCCTTAGTACAGCAGTGTATTGATGTGTGAATCAGGCTGTAATTTCTACTGCTTCTCTTCCTCTTGCTGCAGTGTCTTTGGGTTGTATTTCTGTAATTATATTGATTGTGATCATCTTGTTCTGCTCACTGAGGGATCCACCAAGCCTTGCTTTAAAGGTGATGAACGCTCAAATCAGAGGCCGAACCAAATCTCCATAACATTGTACATTGACCAATGTGTATATGTTTATCTATTTAAGAAATTATCTTGCCATTGATCTGGTCTGAACTGAACTGGCTTGCCCACACACTCTCTCTCTCGCACGCACGCACACGCACGCACTCCCTTACTTGAGAATGCAGTGATTTTTGACTAGCTAGCTTCTGATTCCTGTTCTGCTTCGAAACCTCATAGACAATCAGATCGAAAACTCTGTTTTCTCTGCTCGGTTGAGATGGGAATCTGTAGTGCGGGGAAATGATTTGGTCTCTTGTCCTCCTTTTCCCTTCACCGTTCCCTGATCATTGAACACTTGGGCCCGTCACAGCTTCTGTGACCCACCGCAGAGGGAGCATTAAACATGTGAGGGTTGTTTTGATGTGCAGCCACTGGTGGCTTAAGTGCCTCTGTTTCTGGGGATGCATTTTTTTCTTCTTTCTCACTTTTTTTCTATCTCTCTTTTTATTCCAATCAGCCTGTTCTTTCTTTTCTTTCCCCTTATTTCTTCCACTACTTAACTCTTAGGTTAGTGCAAATGAGTACTAAAAGAGATCCTAAGAAAATACAATAAATCTAACTACTAACCCTCTCCATCTTATCTCTGTTTCCCTCTCATTCTTCCAATCTTTCAGAATGCTTCCCTCTCTTTCCACTTTTTTCTCTTTCTACTTCGTTTCTTCTTTCCCCATCACTCAGTCTGTCCCCTATCATCCCTTCGATTTCATCTCTGCCGGGGTGACACATTCCCGCTTTTGATCATGGCGAATGAGACGGTGGTCGGATTCTCTTTGACTCCGTCTGCACCTATTAGAGCAAGGAGCAATTTTTTTTATCAAACCCCTTTTGGAGATCTACCTCATCATTTGCTCTTTCTTCAATTTTTTCACACTGTTAAATTCTACATGAAATTAAACAGAACATATTGTTGGGAAGGATTGTGAAATCAAGGGATTTTTTCATTCTAGGTGTAGACATTTGAAATGCACTATGATCATATGAGACAGAGGTGGGGATGAATTTCCTGAGGTTGATCTTTGTTGTCAAATTAATGCTTTTGATAGACGTATGTAATCGGTGTCTATCTCTTCTCTCCTTTCTCTCTCCTTTGTAGGCTGAGAATTCAGCCCTGGCCCTTGCGAATGAGAGCCAGAGAGAGGCCTATGAAAGGTGTCTGGATGAGGTGAGTTTTCATATAGAGCTACAGTATACATTCAGAGAAGGTCATCCTGACACTGTATTCTGTCTGTCACTGTACCCACTACATAAGGTGTCTCAGCTTTTATACCCTGCAATGATTACTGTCCACTCTTAAGACTCTAAAATCAGTCTCAATTTGTGACCACAGACTGTAGCAAAGATGTAACTTTTTATTATATTTAATTCAGGTTGCCAACCACGTGGTACAGGCACTTCTGAGTCAAAAGGTAAGACATCAAGACAAATCAATGATGTTCAGACTCAACAGTCTAACAAGTTAAGGAGCAGTTCTTTACACAAGGTGTGTGTGTGTGTGTGTGTGTGTGTGTGTGTGTGTGTGTGTGTGTGTGTGGTGTGTGGGTGTGTGTGTGTGTGTGTGTCATTGAGAAGTTTTTTTTATTTGTGTTTTGTCCTAGGACCTGCGGGAGGAGTGTATTAAGTTGAAGATGCGTGTGTTTGACCTGGAGAGACAGAACAGAACCCTGACTGAGCTCTTTGCCCAGAAACTACACCCCCAGGATAGCCCTCTGAAACAGGTACAGAACGTGTGTGTGTGACATTTATTTTCTCAGCAGTAAGTTGGAAATCATGCATAAATTAACAAGTTGCTTTTCATTTTATTTTCAGTAGTTTTTTTGCAAAACTAGATTGAATGTGACAGGAGAAAGCACTTGATAAAGATGAGAATTAGTCATGAGTACTGACAGACAGTTGTTGAATGTGTGACCAAAGAAGGGATTTAAGTCTATCCGTTGGCTCTCAGAACTGTGTGTGTGTGTGTGTGTGTGTGTGTGTGTGTGTGTGTGTGTGTGTGTGTGTGTGTGTGCTCGTACGCGGTGCATACAGATGTACTATCTTAATTTGACCTGTTTCTTAGAGCAGGAAAATTATCCTGTAGCAACAGGAAATTTCGATTATAATTAATGGACATTTTTGTATGAGTTGATACATTTTTTGTTAGGTAAAATCAAGTGTAACATTTTGGTGGAAATTACAGTGCCTTTAGAAATTATTCATACCCCTTGACTTATTCCACATTTTGTTGTTACAGCCTGAATTCAAAATGGGTTAAATATTATTATTTTACCCATCTACACACAATACCCCATAATGACAAAGTGAAAACATGTTTTTAGAAATGTTTGCTAATTTATTGAAAGTGAAATACAGAAATATCTAATTTACATAAGTGGCTGTTGATCATTGCCAGACAGCCATTTTCAAGTCTTGCCATAGATATCCAAGCCGATTTAAGTCAAAACTGTAACTAGGTCACTCAGGAACATTCAATGTCATCTTGTTAAGTAACTCCAGTGTTTATTTGGCCTTGTGTTTTAGGTTATTGTCCTGCTGAAAGGTTCATTTTTCTCCCAGTGTCTATGGAAAGCAGAATGAACCAGGTTTTCCTCTAGGATTTTGCCTGTGCTTAGCTCTATTACGTTTCTTTTATCCTAAAAAAACTCCCTTGCCGTTGACAAGCATAACCAAAATGTGATGCGGCCACCACAATGCTTGAAAATGTGATGAGTTGTGTTGGATTTGCAGCAAACATGACGCTTTGTATTCAGGACATAAAGTTCATTTCTTTGCCACATTCTTTGCAGTTGTACTTTAGTGCCTTATTGCAAACAGGATGCATGTTTTTGGAATATTTGTATTCTGTACAGGCTTCCTTCTTTTCACTCTGCCATTTAGGTTAGTATTGTGTAGTAACTACAATTTTGTTGAACCATCCTCAGTTTTCTCCTATCACAGCCATTAAACCATTGGCTTCATGGTGAAATCCCTGAGCGTTTTTTTTCCCTCTCCAGCAACTGAGTTAGGAAGGATGCCTGTATCTTTGTAGTGACTGGGTGTATTGATACACCATCCCAAAGTGTACTTAATAACTTCACCATACTCAAAGGGATATTCAATGTCTGCTTCCTTTTCTTTTTTTTTTACCCATCTACCAATAGGTGCCCTTCTTTGCGAGGCATTGGAAAACCTCCCTGGTCTTTGTGGTTGAATCTTTGTTTGAAATGCACTGCTCGAATGAGGGACCTTACAGATAAATGTATGAGGTAGTCATTCAAAAATCATGTTAAACACTATTATTGCACACAGAGTGAGTCCTTGCAACTTTATTATGCAACTTGTTAATAAAGCAGATATTTACTCCTGAACCTATTTAGGCTTGCCATAACAAAGGGGTTGAATACTTATTGACGTCAGACATTTCAGCTTTTCATTTTTAATGAACTTGTAAACATTTCTAAAAACATAATTCCACTTTGACATTATGAGGTATTGTGTGTAGGCCAGTGACACAACATCTCAATTTAATCCATTTTAAATGTAACACAACAAAATGTGGAAAAGGTCAAGGGGGTAAATACTTTCTGAAGGCACTGTAAAAGCCTTTTTAAACCTTGAATACACTACAAGTTTGTACACTGCTCAAAAGAATTAAGGGAACACTTAAACAACACAATGTAACTCCAAGTCAATCACACTTCTGTGAAATCAAACTGTCCACTTAGGAAGCAACACTGATTGACAATACATTTCACATGCTGTTGTGCAAATGGAATAGACAACAGGTGGAAATTATAGGCAATTAGCAAGACACCCCCAATAAAGAAGTGGTTTTGCAGGTGGTGACCACAGACCACTTCTCAGTTCCTATGCTTCCTGGCTGATGTTTTGGTCACTTTTGAATGCTGCCGGTGCTTTCACTCTAGTGGTAGCATGAGACGGAGTCTACAACCCACACAAGTGGCTCAGGTAGTGCAGCTCATCCAGGATGGCACATCAATGCGAGCTGTGGCAAGAAGGTTTGCTGTGTCTGTCAGCGTAGTGTCCAGAGCATGGAGGCGCTACCAGGAGACAGGCCAGTACATCCGGAGATGTGGAGGAGGCCGTAGGAGGGCAATAACCCAGCAGCAGGACTGCTACCTCCGCCTTTGTGCAAGGAGGAGCAGGAGGAGCACTGCCAGAGCCCTGCAAAATGACCTCCAGCAGGCCACAAATGTGCATGTGTCTGCTCAAACGGTCAGAAACAGACTCCATGAGGGTGATATGAGGGCTCGACATCCACAGGTGGGGGTTGTGCTTACAGCCCAACACCGTGCAGCCCAACACCAAGATTGGCAAATTCGCCACTGGCGCCCTGTGCTCTTCACAGATGAAAGCAGGTTCACACTGAGCACATGTGACAGACGTGACAGAGTCTGGAGACGCCGTGGAGAACGTTCTGCTGCCTGCAACATCCTCCAGCATGACCGGTTTGGCGGTGGGTCAGTCATGGTGTGGGGTGGCATTTATTTGGGGGGCCGCACAACCCTCCATGTGCTCGCCAGAGGTAGCCTGACTGCCATTAGGTACCGAGATGAGATCCTCAGACCCCTTGTGAGACCATATGCTGTTGCGGTTGGCCCTGTATTCTTCCTAATGCAAGACAATGCTAGACCTCATGTGGCTGGAGTGTGTCAGCAGTTCCTGCAAGAGGAAGGCATTGATGCTATGGACTGGCCCGCCCGTTCCCCAGACCTGAATCCAATTGAGCACATCTGGGACATCATGTCTCGCTCCATCCACCAACGCCACGTTGCACCACAGACTGTCCAGGAGTTGGCGGATGCTTTAGTCCAGGTCTGGGAGGAGATCCCTCAGGAGACCATCCGCCACCTCATCAGGAGCATGCCCAGGCGTTGTAGGGAGGTCATACAGGCACGTGGAGGCCACACACACTACTGAGCCTCATTTTGACTTGTTTTAAGGACATTACATCAAAGTTGGATCAGCCTGTAGTGTGGTTTTCCACTTTAATTTTGAGGGTGACTCCAAATCCAGACCTCCATGGGTTGATAAATTTGATTTCCATTGATCATTTTTGTGTGATTTTGTTGTCAGCACATTCAACTATGTAAAGAAAAAAGTATTTAATAAGATTATTTCATTCATTCAGATCTAGGATGTGTTATTTTAGTGTTCCCTTTATTTTTTTGAGCAGTGTATTTCAAGTGTGCAGGAAAATTCTCAGAGTGATCAAATTAAGATCGTACATCTGTATCTAAACCACTGCCTTGCTTGTCTCCTGTTCATTATGATTATATCGTTATGACTATATTGCTGTTTTAGAACACTATCAAAGTTTTATATAAAAGAGAATATGGTCCTATGTGTCATGCTGTTTCAAGCTTCCTGCCATCCAGGACCTCTATACCAGGCGGTGTCAGAGGAAGGCCCTCAAAATTGTCAAAGACTCCAGCCACCCTAGTCATAGACTGTTCTCCCTGCTACCGCACGGCAAGCGGTACCGGAGTGCCAAGTCTAGGTCCAAAAGACTTCTCAATAGCTTTTACCCCCAAGCCATAAGACTCCTGAACAGCTAATCATGGCTACCCGGAATATTTGCACTGCCCCCCCACCCCATCCTTTTTACGCTGCTGCTACTCTGTTAATTATTTATGCATAGTCACTTTAACTCTACCCACATGTACATATTACTTCAATTATCTCAACTAGCCGGTGCCCCCGCACATTGACTCTGCACCGGTACCCCCCTGTATATATAGCCTCCCTACTGTTATTTTATTTTACTTCTGCTCTTTTTTTCTCAACACTTTTTTTGTTGTTGTTTTATTTTTACTTTTTTTGTTAAAATAAATGCACTGTTGGTTAAGGGCTGTAAGTAAGCATTTCACTGTAATGTCTGCACCTGTTGTATTCGGCGCATGTGACCAATAACATTTGATTTGATTTGATTTGATAATAAGCACAGTGTTTCTGATTTTAATCATTTGAGAGGGAGATGAGAAGTTCTCCCTCATCTCATCTCTGTTGTTGCTTAGGTGACTGTTGTCATGGTGAAATGTGGAACGGTTACTTCTAGTGAAGTGTAGCTAGTGATGTATTATGCATTGATATGAGGTCCGATAGATGTTTAGATATCCCAATGAGGGCTGATGTCTTGCTTTTCTTTTGGATGTATTTTATCCCAACTGATATCTAACATCAATTGTAACATGGACTGTAGCTTGGAGCCCAAAAGCTCTTTGGAGCTCTTACTCTATCCATTTTGGCCTTGTTGAAAGAAACTAAGGACAAAAGCGCTGTTGTGATAGTATAGTTTTAGAATCCCCTGCTGAGGTGGTTATACAGCAACTATCAAGTTTCTGAGAATTTGGCCTCAAAAGAACAGAGGCAGAGATTGTCTTTGATAAAGATGTTCAGTGACCTTGGTCATATTTTTCATTTCTTTGAAGTGTGTGACACAGGGCACCTCTTTCTCCACTTGTCTCCCTCCCTCTCTCTTTCTTCAGCTCTGTTTATTAACACCAACTCCTTCGCTCTCTCCTTCTTATCAACTCTATTAGTATTCCAACCGCTCCACGGTAGCGAGGGGATAGGAGAGAGAAGCAATCTGCTGCAGAAATCTCAAGTATTTAATCTAAACAAATGTGCCCTGTTATTGCCAGGAGAGCAAAATGGCACATTCTATTACTGTAAATGAAAATTTCAACTGTCCCCAACTCCCCCCAAATCTAACCCCTTCTCCCTCCCTCCCTCTCTTCTCCCCCACGCCTACTTTTTTCTGTATTCTTCAGTCGTTCTCTTTGCGTCTCTTACCTGTGAGCAAAAAAAAAACATATTTCCTCGCATACGGAGTGAGTGCCTCTTCCCCCGCTGTTGCCTTTCTTTGTGATGAATATAATAATCATAAGGAAAACTGATGCCATCTCACTGCCGAAGCAATTTAATTATTCAGGGCTGAGATAGGAATGAAAAGAGGCTGGCCCGCTCCAGTAATGTCATTTTTATCTGTGTATTAGGAGGCAGGTTAAAGGAAATCAGGAGAGGGTGCAGAGAATGACAATAGTCAATATGGTGCCCTTACTGTCATTACTCTTTCTCTGTTCTCTCCCGTTCCAGTTGCAGTTGGTGTCTGTCCCGGAGGACAGCACAGAGCCCCTGACCATGGACAGTGACAAGCTGCTGGTGTCCCAGAGACAAGGGGAACTCAAGGTGAGCAGCTGACCACACACAAACCCCGACCCCTGACTAAAACTTCACTTTGACCATAGAATTACGAACACATATACTGAACAAAAATATAAACGTAACATGCAACAATTTCAACGATTTTACTGAGTTACAGTTCATATAAGGAAATCAGTAAATTGAAATAAATTAATTAGCCCCTAATCATCAATGGATTTCACATGACTGCACAGGGGTGCAGCCATGGGTGGCCCTGGGAGGGCATAGGCCCTCCCCCACTTGGGAATATGTTTTTCCCCACAAAAGGGCTTTATTACAGACAGAAATACTCTGCAGTTTCATCAGCTGTCCGGGTGGCTGGTCTCAGACGATCCCGTAGGTGAAGAAGCTGGATTTGGAGGTCCTGGGCTGGCATGGTTATACGTGGTCTGCAGTTGTGAGGCCAGTTGGATGCACTGCACAAATTCTGCACAATTCTCTAAAACGATGTTGGAGACTGCATATGGTATAGAAATGAACATTCAATTATCTCGCAACAGTTCTGGTGTACATTCCTGCAGTCAGCATGCCAATTGCACGCTCCGTCAACTTGAGACATCTGTAGCATTGTGTTGTGTGACAAAACTGCACATTTTAGAGTGGCTTTTATTGTCCCCAGCATAAGGTGCACCTGTGTAATGATCATGTGGTTTAATCAGCTTCTTCATATGTCACACCTGTCAGATGGATGGATTATTTTGGCAAAGGAGAAATGCTTACTAACAGGGATGTAAGCAAATTTGTGCCAAAAATTTGAGAAAAATAAGCTTTTCGTGTGTATGGAAAATTTCTGCGAACTTTTATTTCAGGTGAAAGCTATGATCGCTTATTGATGTCACTTGTTAAATCCACTTCAATCAGTGTAGATGAAGGGGAGGAGACAGGTTCAAAAATATTTTTAAGCCTTGAGACAATTGAGACATGGATTGTGTATGTGTGCCATTCATAGGGCGAATGGGCAAGACAAAATATTTAAGTGCCTTTGAACGGGGTATGGTAGTTGGTGCCAGGCGCACCGGTTTGTGTCAAGAACTGCAACGCAGCTGGGTTTTTCACGCTCAACAGTTTCTTGTGTGTATCAAAAATGGTCCACCACCCAAAGTACATCCAGCCAACTTGATACAACTGTGGGATGCATTGGAGTCAACATGTGCTAGCATCCCTGTGGAACGCTTTCAACACCTTGTAGAGTCCATGCCCCGACTAATTGAGGCTGTTGTGAGGGCAAAGGGGGGTGTCAGCCCTCTGTACCACCCTTAATCAGCTCAGCAAACTCATATTTTGTTTACCTCTGCTTCACCAGCATTGGACACCTTCTGTTAGTAATCACAATGTTTATTTTCATACTCATACACTACATGACCAAAGGTATGTGGGTTTGATTCCCATGGGGGGCCAGTATAATTATTATTATTTTTTAATAAAAAATATACAAAAATTGTATGCACTCGCTCTGGATAAGAGCGTCTGCTAAATGACATAAATGTAAATGTATGTGGACACCTGCTCATCGAACATCTCATTCCAAAATCATGGGCATTAATATGGAGTTGGTCCCTCCTTTGCTGCTATAACAGCCTCCACTCTTCTGGGAAGGCTTTCCACTAGATGTTGGAACATTGCTGCGGGGACTTGCTTCCATTCAGCCACAAGAGCATTAGTGAGGTCGGGCATTAATGTTGGGCGATTAGGCCTGGCTCGCAGTCGGCGTTCCAATTCATCCCAAAGGTGTTCGATGGGGTTGAGGTCAGGGCTCTGTGCAGGCCAGTCAAGTTCTTTCACACCGATCTCGACAAACCATTTCTGTATGGACCTCACTTTGTGCATGGGGGCATTGTTATGCTGAAATAGGAAAGGGCCTTCCCCAAACTGTTGTCACAAAGTTGTAAGCACAGAATCATCTAGAATGTCATTGTATGCTGTAGCGTTAACATTTCCCTTCACTGGAACTAAGGGGCTTAGCCCGAACCATGAAAAACAGCCCCAGGCCATTATTCCTCCTCCACCAAACTTTACAGTTGGCACTATGCATTCAGGTAGGTAGCGTTCTCCTGGCTTCCGCCAAACCCAAATTCGTCCGTCGGACTGCCAGATGGTGAAGCGTGATTAATCACTCCAGAGAATGACAGTTGCCTAGCGACAGGCGGTGGACCTGATGATCAGCGATGCAGAACGAATGGAATTGATTGTTTTTCTTCACCTTGTTGTTTTGTTTACCTGTTCCAGAGTCCAATGGCAGCGAGCTTTACATCACAGCTGACGGTTGGCATTGCACATGGTGATCTTAGGCCATGGAAACCCTTTTCATGAAGCTTCCAACGAACAGTTCCTGTGCTGATGTTGCTTCCAGTGGCAGTTTGGAACTCGGTAGTGAGTGTTGCAACCGAGGACAGACTATTTTTACGCACTTGAGCACTCGGCGGTCCCGCTCTGTGAGCTTGTGTGGCCTACCACTTCGCGGCTGAGCCATTGTTGCTCCTAGACGTTTCCACTTCACAATAACAGCACTTACAGTTGACGGGGGCAGCTCTAGCAGGGCAGAAATTTGACGAACTGACTTGTTGGAAAGGTGCCATCATATGACGGTGCCATGTTGAAAGTCACTGAACTCCTCAGTAAGGCCATTCTACTGCCAATGTATGTCTATGGAGATTGCATGGCTGTGTGTTCGATTTTTATACACCTGTCAGCAACGGTTGTGGCGGAAATAGCCAAATCCACTAATTTGATGTGTTCCAAGGATTTATTATGTTCCAAGGAGGTCCCCCAGTGAACCAAGTCCATTCGCATTCCCAGGATTAATTCAACCACAAATTAATATAATTTAAAGGGGATTGGCTTGCTCAATGTTCTAGCGCCACCACAACATTTTCTGCTGTGAAAGTTCCTCCTGTTTTGCCCCCACTCACCGAAGTACCCCCAACGGCGCTCACCGAGCACCTCTGTAATGTTCTCTCTTAAAATAGGCCGGTGTTATTGCTGCCCCCAGGAGCAGCACTAGACTCCTGCTGACAAATGACTGAGAAACAAGTGGAAGAAAGGAACAAGAGAGACCCCTCATTTCAACCCTGAGGGCAACTGATTGGTTTCTTGTTATCAGGCAGGGAGAGAGGTGTCAAATTGAATATAGATTTTTGTTTCCCTCTGAACAAACACTCGCCCTATGCATTCCTCTCTGTCTTTCTCTCCCTCCATCTCCTCTCCTCCGTAATTCTTTGAGGTTGAGGCTTTATTTCGTTCAGATCTCCTTGGGCAATGGTTTCTGTCTGGCCCCAAGTTTCAAAGCAACCCAGCCATCATCCCATAGTCTCCACATTGCATTTAGTATACCCTCCATATAGCCCTGGGATTTTAAACAAAAATATAGTGGGATGGAGGTTTTGGGTAAATGCGGCACCCCTTAAGAGAGCCCATTAACCCATCACACACATTGATGGAGTCCACTGTTGAAAGGCTACTTTACAACATAAAGCCTCTCTCATGGATGCTGAGGTGGCAACTCAATATTAGGAAGGTGTTCCTAATGTTTGGTATAATCAGTGTATATCAAACATAGGGATGCAAAATTCTGGCAACTTAGGAAGCAGAACTGTATGGGATTCAGTCAGTCAATACATTTCTCTACTCAAAATTCCAGGAACTTTCAATAAATTCCCTGGTTCTACAGAAATCCTGGTTGGATGATTCCCGGAATCAGGAGGGAATAAGCAGGAAATGCGGAATCCTGTTTATCCCCTCCTGACTCCGTGAAGCCTCCAACCGGGATTTAGGGAAAACCAGGGAATTTATTGAAAGTTCCTGGAATTTTGCAACCCTACTCAAACACAGGAAAATCATGTTTTTGACTGCACTGGGCCTTTAATGAACCATGAGTAGAGAAATGTATTGACTGAATCCCGTTCAGTTCACCATACCCACATCCTCAGCTAAGCTCTGCACCACTCCCAGCTCCCCTGATCCAAGTGCAGCATCCGTCCAGATTGTATATATACATGCTGCATATATATGGGTTTATCCGAGCTCCCAGGTGTAGACTGAGAATTTATTAGGTGGACGTAAATCATTGCATCAGAATAGGCACTTTGCAGCGTTGGCAGAGGGGTTTTCAAAGTCACCTCATTCGACTGGATTTGTCAAATTTACACGCAATAGCTCTTTGGGTTCACTTGGGAGAGATGGAGGGAGATTGAAAAGGGGTAAACAATGCACAGTGTATGCTGAGGTAATCAAGTGGGCCCTCACCTATAGAAACTAGGCCTGTTGCTTGGATTCATCAAATTGACGTGCCATGGCTTTGGGGAATGCCAGTGGAGTAGTATTGGAAATAATGACAGGGGAAGAGAATGAATGGTCTGTGTAAGCTAAACAAGTGGCTCTGTCCCACCCCCCTCTGTCTTCATTTGATAATCACAGAGGTCCCCACTGGCGGTGACTATTTTAGTTAACAGATTGGCTCCTCTCCAAGAAGAGGGGATGAGGAGGAGGAGGGTGGAGGAGTAGTTTTCTCACTGATTACAGAATGAATTGCTTCTTTAATTAAAGATAACGACTGCTTCCTATGGTTGGCCGGACATGTGTAACCAAAGTGGCTTCAGTTGCCTCTCCACTCTTCTCTCCTTCGTTCATTTATTCCTCCCCCTGTAAGGACTGGGGTGCTCAGCATTCTCAGGATGTCCTCTTTTGCTGTGACGGTCATTGGGGACTTGGGCAGTTAGTTCAATGCAGTACATTCACTTGAAACATGAGTTGCAGGCCCACTCAAAAAGTCCTGAAGTATCCAAGCAAGTTTTGTTCTAATCAGGGTAAAAAGGAACCTCCACAATCGATTGTCAACATGAAATCAATACATATGACTCCTGGTGCGCTGTGCACGCAATGTGTTAGATGTTGGAGGCAGCATGAATTTTCTTTTGATTTTAGCCATACTGTACTTAACTTGAAGTGTTGTTTTTAGTTTGTATTGTTTGATGAAGATGTAGTAGAGTTACAAACTGATGTCCTTGTTTATGCAGAGCAATGGGGACCACACACAGAACGGAACAGCCGGCTCAGCCCCGGCCCCTGCCACCTCCATAGAGGCCCTGTCTCCATTCTTTAAAAAGAAAGCACACATCCTGGAAGTATTGCGCAAGCTGGAGGAGTCAGACCCCCTCAAGTTCCACCCCTCCTCCTGCCTGTCCCCACACCACGACCTGGGTCAGGCGCTGGTCTCCATGGAGAGAGACCAGATGTCCCTGATGTCCTCTGTGGGGTTACCCTCTTCTCAGTGCCTGGTAGCACATCCCTCGTCACGCTGCCGCCACTCCAGCTCAGACTCAGACATCCATGATTACACCAACGGAGAAGGGGCTCTCCAGGAGGACCATGCCCTGCACAGACAGCACCAGCAGAGGGGCTGCCAGTCCTGCCAAATGCTCTCCCAGAAGAGTAGCCTGGACAGCCTGCTGAAGTGTGCCCAGGGCCACGGCGCCACACACCCGGGCAGAGTGGAGAGCCTCAACGGGCAGGCCTGGGCAGAGGACCAGGGGGCGTCGGCACAGAGCACAGGCCTTCCCCAGGCAGCAGCTCTCCCCCACCTCCTCTCTGCTGACAGCACAAGCCAGTGCTACATGAACAAAACAGCAGTAGACTCTCTAGAGCAGCCTCCAGAACTTCTGGTTTCTTCTGATCCAATCTCCTCGCTAATCCAAGCCAACCTCAACGGGATGCTAGGGAAGGAGACCAGGAACTTTCAAAGACACAAAGACAGGCATCCGTTTGGCAAACCGCCACCTCTGTCTCGGGTCGAGGTGCAACCCTCTCACAGTGAGGATGTGAAGCACATAAAGGCTGTCATTGCAACATCGCTGACCCAAAACGGGGACAGTCCGGAGGAGTGCTGCTACGTGGAAGAAGAGGCCGTATCAGTGGTGCACAATGTGAACAACAGCCTACACACCTCTACCTCACACACAGACCCTGTTGCCATGGAGACGGATCCAGGGTATCACGAGGAGCAGGAAGTGAGCGAGCAGGTCTGCAACGGGCTCTACTTCTCCTCCAATGAGACGTCTGTCTGCAAGAAGGTGGCGGTGGAGTTGTACTCTCCAGCCCCGGTTCCCGAGAGGACCAGCTCAGCTCAGGCCCTGCCTCCCTCTGGGAAGAGCAAGCTTGCACTCAGCCCCACCTTTTCCTCAGGCCTGGGTGAAGTCAAGCCCTCCCCCATTTCCTCCCCGGCACGGCTGCTCAAGTTCCTGAAGATCCCGACGGGGATCAACCAGGCACAACCAGGCAACCCCCTCCGTCTAAGTCCCCAGCTCACCCGCAGCTCCAAGATCCCCTGCAGGAACAACAACTATGAGGTGTACCACTCGCCTGTAATGACACGCAAAGCCACCACCACAGAGAGGGAGAAGCAGCTGTCCTCATCCTCCTCCAAAACAGACCCCTACCCTGCCACGCACTCTGCCCCCACCTCGCCACCCAAGCCAGAGGACAGCGCGGGCCCCCCTCCCACAGTCAAGGAGAAAGCTTTCAGCAGCCACTTTGCGCCCAAACCCAGCCGCAGTACAAAGGCAGCCCCCTCCTCCTCCTCTTCTCACGCACAAAGGGGCTCTCAGAAGGTGGCCCACTATGAGAATGTCTGCCCGTCAGATGGGACGCCCCAGTACCTCCCTTACACCCAACCTGAGGGGCCTGTAGAGAATCAGCAGCAGGAGGAGGAGAACCTCCTCAGCCACCCATCTTCACAGCACCCTGACTCGTCCCCAGAACCAGATGACCAGGACACTGACCAGGACACTGAACAGGACACTGACCAGGACACTGACTCAGAAAGCCCCGTCTGGCACAAGCCCGACCAACACTTCAGCCTACCCTCCTCGTCCTCCGCCACCGCTAGTAAAGCACACAGTAGTCGCCCCAGCTACTCCAGCATGAGGGACAGGCACCAGGAGCACCGTGCAGCTCTGGAGCCCAGTCAGACGATCTGTGAGCCAACCCAGTCTGCAGCCAGGCGAGGTGACCCGTCGCCTGGGTCTTCCACCCCCAAGAGGCTGGTGCAGGGAAAATCCCAGAGTGAGTCCAGTCACCACCCATTCAAAGAGCGCCTGGCTGCTCTGGGGAAACTGAAGAGCACAGATAACCTGCCAGTAGGCGCACAGTCCGTGGACAAGAAGGATGCACAAAGTAACGTGGGTAAACCCCCCACCAACAATATTGAGAAAACCAAGACTCCTGAAAGGGAAGGCGAGAGAACTGGGACAGAGCAGCACAAACATCAGAAATACACAGATTCCCTGGAAGGGAAGCCCTACCCCAAAACCAGCCTCGGCAGTCACCCCAGGGTGCCAGGTCCAATACATGAATCAGGCGCCAAATCATCAGCTACCCCATCATCCATACCAAAGGTAGAGCAGGAGACATCATTCTCTCCCCGGATATATGTAGCGAAAGCAGAGGGTCCAAAGATCAAGATGGGCACATCATCCTCCAACACAGAGACCCCTCCAGTGGTGCGGAGCTACGGGAAGTGCCCCATCACCCAGAGCCACCACAGTAAAACTGCCCCTAGCCCCCAAAACAGCCCCGCTAAAGTCCCCTCAAAGTCCCCTTCAAAGGTCGGCCAGGCTTCCTCTTACCCCCGAGGGGTCAAGCCTGCTCACGAGGACCGCGCCCTGGCTCAGAGACACCCGCCCAGGCCGGAGGACAAAAGTAAGCTCCTGGCCAGCAAGAAGAAGAACTTTGTCCATGCAGAGAGCTTCCCACCTCCTCCTCCTCTGCCACCGCGGTCGTCTACTGAAGCCATCGTGAAAGACGACAAGAAGCAGTACTCAACCGGCCCACCCGTACCCCAGTCGGCCATCGAGCAGAAAGTAATGCGTGGCATCGAGGAGAACATGCTTAAGCTGCAGGAGCAGGACCGGGGCCAGGCAGTTGAGCCCAAGCAGAAGGCCTCCAACGGCATCGCCAGCTGGTTCGGCCTGAGGAAGAGCAAGCTCCCCGCCCTCAGCCGTAAACCAGAAGTGTCCAAGCTCAAGAACAACATGTCGTCCTCTCCTTCGTCGTCCTCTGGCGGAGGGGCTAAGGACACTAAGTCAGGTGGGCCCCGGAAGGTGGTGGAGAGCCTGAACATCTCCAAGCTGATGGAGAAGGCAGAGGACCTGCGGAAGGCATTGGAGGAGGAGCGGGCTTATGTGAACGGGGTCGAGATGGACCGCTCCGGCAGGGGACACTCCTGTGAGGTGGTGATGGACCAGGCCCAGGGCCAACTGTCACTCATGTACAGAGGAGTGACCGCAGACAACTTCATGCAGCAGCTCCTCAACAGGTAAGAATGATATGTAATCTTAGATTATGTTCCTAAGAATTAATTAAATACATCAGAACTCTGGCACAAATATATAATACTGCAGCCATGAGTGTACTGAATGATGATTACAAGATACTGTGGGGGAAAAAAGTATTTAGTCAGCCACCAATTGTGCAAGTTCTCCCACTTAAAAAGATGAGAGAGGCCTGTAAATTTCATCATAGGTACACGTCAACTATGACAGACAAAATGAGAAGCAAAAAAATCCAGAAAAACACATTGTAGGATTTGTAATGAATTTATTTGCAAATTATGGTGGAAAATAAGTATTTCGCAATACTTTGTTATATACCCTTTGTTGGCAATGACACAGGTCAAACGTTTTCTGTAAGTCTTCACAAGCTTCACACTGTTGCTGGTATTTTGGCCCATTCCTCCATGCAGATCTCCTCTAGAGCAGTGATGTTTTGGGGCTGTCGCTGGGCAACACAGACTTTCAACTCCCTCCAAAGATTTTCTATGGGGTTGAGATCTGGAGACTGGCTAGGTCACTCCAGGACCTTGAAATGCTTCTTACGAAGCCACTCCTTCGTTGCCCGGGCGGTGTGTTTGGGATCATTGTCATGCTGAAAGACCCAGCCACGTTTCATCTTCAATGCCCTTGCTGATGGAAGGAGGTTTTCACTCAAAATCTCACGATACATGGCCCCATTCATTCTTTCCTTTACACGGATCAGTCCTCCTGGTCCCTTTGCAGAAAAACAGCCCCAAAGCATGATGTTTCCACCCCCATGCTTCACAGTAGGTATGGTGTTCTTTGGATGCAACTCAGCATTCTTTGTCCTCCAAACACGACGAGTTGAGTTTTTACCAAAAAGTTATATTTTGGTTTCATCTGACCATATAACATTCTCCCAATCCTCTTCTGGATCATCCAAATGCACTCTAGCAAACTTCAGACGGGCCTGAACATGTACTGGCTTAAGCATGGGGACACGTCTGGCACTGCAGGATTTGAGTCCCTGGCGGCATAGTGTGTTACTGATGGTAGGCTTTGTTACTTTGGTCCCAGCTCTCTGCAGGTCATTCACTAGGTCCCCCCGTGTGGTTCTGGGATTTTTGCTCACCGTTCTTGTGATCATTTTGACCCCACGGGGTGAGATCTTGCGTGGAGCCCCAGATCGAGGGAGATTATCAGTGGTCTTGTATGTCTTCCATTTCCTAATAATTGCTCCCACAGTTGATTTCTTCAAACCAAGCTGCTTACCTATTGCAGATTCAGTCTTCCCAGCCTGGTGCAGGTCTACAATTTTGTTTCTGGTGTCCTTTGACAGCTCTTTGGTCTTGGCCATAGTGGAGTTTGGAGTGTGACTGTTTGAGGTTGTGGACAGGTGTCTTTTATACTGATAACAAGTTCAAACAGGTGCCATTAATACAGGTAACGAGTGGAGGACAGAGGAGCCTCTTAAAGAAGAAGTTACAGGTCTGTGAGAGCCAGAAATCTTGCTTGTTTGTAGGTGACCAAATACTTATTTTCCACCATAATTTGCAAATAGATTCATAAAAAATTCTACAATGTGATTTTCTGGAGAAAAAAAATCTCAATTTGTCTGTCATAGTTGACGTGTACATATGATGAAAATTACAGGCCTCTCTCATCTTTTTAAGTGGGAGAACTTGCACAATTGGTGGCTGACTAAATACTTTTTTCCCCCACTGTACAGTGCATTCGGAAAGTATTCAGACCCCTTGACTTTTTCCACATTTTGTTACGTTACAGCCTCATTCTAAAATCGATTACATAATTTTTTCCCTCATCAATCTACAAACAATACCCCATAATGACAAAGCGAAAACTGGTTTTTAGAAATGTTTGCAAATGTATTAATAAAAACAGATACCTTATTTACATAAGTATTTAGACTCTTTGCTATGAGACTCAAAATTGAGCTCAGGTGCATCCTGTTTCCACTGATCATCCTTGAGATGTTTCTACAACTTGATCCGAGTCCACCTGTGGTAAATTCAATTGATTGGACATGATTTGGAAAGGCACACACCTGTCTATATAAGGTCCCACAGTTGACAGTGCATGTCAGAGCAAAAACCAAGCCATGAGGTTGAAGGAATTGTCCGTAGAGCTCCTAGACAGGATTGTGTCGAGGCGCAGATCTGGGGAAGGGAACCAAAAAATTTCTGCAGCATTGAAGGTCCCCAAGAACACAGTGGCCTCCATCATTCTGAAATAGAAGTTTGGAACCACCAAGACTCTTCCTAGAGCTGGCCTTAGACAGGGAGGTGACCAAGAACCTGATGGTCACTCTGACAGAGCTCCAGAGTTCCTCTGTGGAGATGGGAGAATCTTCCAGAAGGACAACCATCTCTGCAGCACTCCACCTTAATGGTAGAGTGGCCAGACGGAAGCCACTCCTCAGTAAAAGGCACATGAAAGCCCGCTTGGAGTTTCCTAAAAGGCAAGATTGAACTATTTGACCTGAATGCCAAGCGTCATGTCTGGAGGAAACCTGGCACCATCCCTACGGTGAAGCATGGTGGTGGCGCTCAGGACCTCAGACTGGTGCAAAGGTTCACCTTCCAACAGGACAACTACCTTAAGCACACAGCCGAGACAACGCAGGAGTGGCTTCGGGACAAGTCTCTGAATTACCTTGAGTGGGCCAGCCAGAGCCCGGATTGAACCCGATCGAACATCTCTGGAGAGAACTGAAAAGAGCTGTGCAGTGACACTCTCCATCCAACCTGACAGAGCTAGAGATTATCTGCAGAGAAAAATGGGAGAAACTCCCCAAATACAGGTGTGCCAAGCTTGTAGCGTCATACCCAAGAAGACTCGAGGCTGTAATCGCTGCCAAAGGTGCTTCAACAAAGTACTGAGTAAAGGGTCTGAAAACGTATTTAAATGTGATATTTCAGTTTTTTATTTTTAATACATTTGCAAAAATGTCTAAAAACCAGTTTTTGCTTTTTCATTATGGGATATTGTGTGTAGATTGATGAGGGGGAAAAAACTATTTAATCCATTTTAGAATAAGGCTGTAACGTAACAAAGTGGAAAAAGTCAAGGGGTCTGAATACTTTACGAATGCACTGTAATTACAAAACTTGCCTGAGGATTAGAAAACTCTTTCTCGTATGATAAAATCGGATCTAATTTGATTGGTATAAGTCGAAAGCTAGTTCCCCTATGAGTTTTTTGTAACTTCTTCTTTCTTAAGTCCCTCGACGTCTTGTTCTGGAAACAGGGTGGACGAGAGGGGAGCTATACCTACCACTTTTGGAATGGCACACAGACGCCTCTCCTTTGACTCAAAGAGGTCGCGGCCCATCTTCAGTCACCAGAGGGACAGGATCAGCCACACCAAGAGCAGGGACGAGATGGACCAGGTAAACTCTCTCTCTTTTTTTCCTCTTATACACTATAGACAAATTAATAAATGACATCAGTAATATGATTCAATCTTACGTGGAGTGTAACCCTTGCTGTTTCAGGCTTCAGATATGATCGGCAAGGATGAGGTCACATCAGACGAGAGCTTGGCAGAGTCCATTAGTTCCCAGCACTTTACAGGTGAGAGCAGCATGATGCTGAGTCATGATAATGTCTGTCATCCATTTCCCTTGACTAACACTCCCCCGTTCCTTCCGCACTGTTTAGGTTCTGGGACATCCATGCGTACCCTCGACAGTGGCATCGGCACATTCCCCATGCCAGACTATGCCAGTAACGCAGCAGGGAAGAGCATCACTAAGGGGAAGCCACAGGGAGAGCAAGTGTTTTCAGGCTCCCAGGGAAAACATGGGGCAAAGATGAAAGTTCAGCGTAAGGCCCGTACACTGGAGAGAGAGCTGTCATCTCTGGATGAAGTCAACCCATCTGTCCTGTATGGCTCAGGACTGGAGGGAAGAGGTCCCAACATGCATCTGTCCAGCACAATCCACGAGGGTCAGCTTGGACTCTTGGACTTTGTATTCCCATAGGACTTGTTGTGTTCCCATATAGACCATTTTAATGCAGTCATTTTACATAAGTGGTTTAGATATGGTTGCGGAAGTCTGTTTTATCAGTTCTGCAAAACCAACATTTTGTGTGTCATTAATACTGTGGACTAACTATTCACACAAGCTTAAATCTTGCAACAAAACACCTGCGCTAAGCTCTTTTTTACATCTTGAATTGCATTTGCTCTTATGCAGACATAGATGCCTACGGGGCTCATATGCAAAATCCCCCAACCAAGAACTGGACCTTTCCCAACCTGAAAGGCTCTGCAGGAGCCAGTGATGTTTACCTGGACATGCAGGGAGAGGGCAGCCAGAGGACCCCCTCCAGAAGGGTGAGTGAGTCAGAGAGCTGAGTTCATCTCCATCGTAACAAGAAATTTAGAAGAAGACATCCCTGTACTCTGTGCTGACATGTGCCAACTTTCTAATCTACAGTGAAAAGATGAAAGCTCTGCTCTTTATTAATATTTTAAGAGATGAGGCTGATAGACAGCTGGGGCCTTGATCACTCTCGCCTGTCAGTTGTCATCCCTTGTCAGCACTTTAAACCATAGTCCCATTAGCTGGCATTATTATCCTCAAATTTTGAGTGAGAGAGAGATCAATCTAAATGCAGATAACTAACTCCTCCTGCCACTTCTCAGGGATGGGGGAGGTGGGGGGGTTGCTGTGGAAACGAGATGGAGCGGGAGAAGGGCTTTTGACTAGTGATGGGAAGGTCGGCTTACAGACTCAGATCTTTTCGACTCGTTCAGTCAAAACAACTCGACTCGTTTCGTTAATTCCATTCAGTAATGCTCAGAGCACGTAGGACCCCCTACCGGCGAATGATAAACTGAAAACTCGAAAGGGTCATGATTCGGCAAGCCTCTCGTTCACCATAAGGGGCTTATTGGAGCAGTTATTTGTGACAGACTTGTAAAATTGTGTTTTAAACAATGTACATTTGTGATAGCTCTGCATAAAATAAGATTATTTCTTGATTCCTTTGAAATTAGGTCTAGTTGCGGCCGTAACCGGACTAGATTGTGAAAGATTTTTGGCTGAATATTTGACTGCCGAGAGGGTGATAAGCACAGTATCGTTTGCAACAGCAGCAGACCCACAAATTATTCATTCTCGAGTTGCATGTTTTAGTTCTACAAAGCTGTGTCCATTAAAACATTCCATAATCAAGTAATTGTATTCATTCTTGCATCATGCGGTTGATTATCAATTCTAAACATGCATTTTTCTTGTCTACGATGCTTGTGCGCACATATGATAGACAGTAGTTGGTCGGAGCATTCTGGAGCCACTGAGCTGGAGGAGCATATATCAGTCCTGCTTTAGGCAGGGACTTAGGCACTGGGGAGCTAGGCCCACCCAATCAGATTGAGCAACAAAAAATATATATATATACCAGTCAAAAGTTTGGACACACCTACTCATTCCAGGGTTTTTCTTTATTTATACTATTTTCTACATTGTAGAATAGTAGTGAAGACATCAGAACTATGAAATAACACATATGGAATCATGTAGTAACCAAAAAAGTGTTAAACAAATCAAAATATATTTTATATTTGAGATTCTTCAAAGTAGCCACCCTTTGCCGTGTTGACAGCTTTGCACACTCTTGGCATTCTCTCAACCAGCTTCACCTGGAATGCTTTTCCAACAGTCTTGAAGGAGTTCCAACATATGCTGAGCACTTGTTGGCTGCTTTTCCTTCACTCTGCGGTCCGACTCATCCCAAACCATCTCAATTGGGTTGAGGTCGGGGGATTGTGGAGGCCAGGTCATCTGATGCAGCACTCAATCACTCTCCTTCTTGGTAAAATAGCCCTTACACAGCCTAGAGGTGTGTTGGGTCATTGTCCTGTTGAAAAACAAATGATAGTCCCACTAAGCCCAAACCAAATGGTTAAGTGTGCCTTGAATTCTAAACAAATCACAGACAGTGTCACCAGCAAAGCACCCCCACACCATAACACCTCCTCCATGCTTTACGGTGGGAAATACACATGTGGAGATCATCCGTTCACCCACACCGCGTCTCACAAAGCCACGGCGGTTGGAACCAAAAATCTCAAATTTGGACTCCAGACCAAAGGACATATTTCCACCAGTCTAATGTCCATTGCTCGTGTTTCTTGGCCCAAGCAATACTTCTTATTGGTGTCCTTTAGTAGTGGTTTCTTTGCAGCAATTCGACCATGAAGGCCTGATTCACAGTTGATGTTGAGATGTGTCTGTTACTTGAACTCAGTGAAGCATTTATTTGGGCTGCAATTTCTGAGGCTGATAACTCTAATGAATTTATCCTCTGCAGCAGAGGTAACTCTGGGTCTTCCATTCCTGTGGCGGTCCTCATGAGAGCCAGTTTCATCATAGCGCTTGTTGGTTTTTGCGACTGCACTTGAAGAAACTTTAAAAGTTATTGGCACTTGAAGAAACTTGAAGTTATTGACATTTTCCGGATTGACTGACCTTCATGTCTTAAAGTAATGATGGAATGTTTCTCTTTGCTTATTTGAGCTGTTCTTGCCATAATATGGACTTGGTCTTTTACCAAATAGGGCTATCTTCTGTATACCTTGTCACAACACAACTGATAGGCTCAAACGCATTAAGAAGGAAAGAAATTCCACAAATTAACTTTTAACAAGGCACACCTGTTAATTGAATTGCATTCCAGGTGACTACCTCATGAAGCTGGTTGCGAGAATGCCAAGAGTGTGCAAAGCTGTCATCAAGGCAAAGGGTGGCTATTTGAAGAATCTCAAATATAAAATATATTTTGATATGTTTAACACTTATTTGGTTACTACATGATTCCATATGTGTTATTTCATAGTTTTGATGTCTTCATTATTATTCTACAATGTAAAAATAAAGAAAAACCCTTGAAAGAGTAGGTGTGTCCAAACTTTTGACTGGTACTGTATGTCATTGTGCTTCTATGGCTATATGCACCATGCCACTGCCCATTTCATTTCTTCATTTTCCAAACAAGACAACTCATAATCCAGTGCCTTTATCACAATCAACACACATTGTAGCTTGAATTAGCTTTAAAATGAAAAATTATCTCAACCTCATGGCAAAATGTGTAGAATAGCATGAGATGAGCTATACAACTGAAAAATGTCCTCTGATCTATGGCAAAATGTGTAGAATTGCAGGAAAGTCATTTTAAAACTGCAAACAGGTTTCAATCCCATTTATCGAAATAGTTTAAAGCAATACATTTGCACAAAGAAATATGTGCATTTTCTCAGCAGCAGTGTGTTTCAAACAAACTGTCTTTTTGCAAATAAAGAGCTGTGCATAATGACGTACAGTTGAAGTCGGAGGTTTACATACACTTAGGGTGGAGTCATTAAAACTCGTTTTTCAACCACTCCACAAATTTCTTGTTAACAAACTATAGTTTTGGCAAGTCGGTTAGGACATTTACTTTGTGCATGACACAAGTAATTTTTCCAACAATTGTTTACAGACAGATTATTTCACTTATAATTCACTGTATCACAATTCCAGTGGGTCAGAAGTTTACATATACTAAATTGACTGTGCCTTTAAACAGTTTGGAAAATTCCAGAAAATGATGTCATGGCTTTAGAAGCTTCTGATAGGCTAATTGATATCATTTGAATTGGAGGTGTACCTGTGGATGTATTTCAAGGCCTACCTTCAAACTCAGAAGAAAATCAAAAGAAATCAGCCAAGACCTCAGAAAATAAATTGTAGACATCCACAAGTCTGGTTCATCCTTGGGAGCTATTTCCAAACGCCTGAAGGTACCACGTTCATCTGTACAAACAATAGTACGCAAGTATAAACACCATGAGACCACGCAGCAGTCATACCGTTCAGGAAGGAGACGCGTTCTGTCTCCTAGAGATGAACATACTGTGGTGCGAAAAGTGCAAATCAATCCCAGAACAACAGCAAAGGACCTTGTGAAGATGCTGGAGGAAACGGGTACAAAAGTATCTATATCCACAGTAAAACAAGTCCTATATCGACATAACCTGAAAGGCCGCTCAGCAAGGAAGTTGAGTTGATGCCAAAGAGCTCCATTTTGATCTCATCTGACCACAACACTTTCACCCAGTTCTCTTCTGAATCATTCAGATGTTCATTGGCAAACTTCAGACGGGCATGTATATGTGCTTTCTTGAGCAGGGGGACCTTGCGGGCGCTGCAGGATTTCAGTCCTTCACGGCGTAGTGCGTTACCAATTGTTTTCTTGGTGACTATGGTCCCAGCTGCCTTGAGATCATTGACAAGATCCTCCCGTGTAGTTCTGGGCTGATTCCTCACCGTTCTCATGATCATTGTAACTCCACGAGGTGAGATCTTGCATGGAGCCCCATGCAGTTCTTTTGTGTTTCTTCCATTTGCGAATAATCACACCAACTGTTGTCACCTTCTCACCAAGCTGCTTGGCGATGGTCTTGTAGCCCATTCCAGCCTTGTGTAGGTCTACAATCTTGTCCCTGACATCCTTGGAGAGCTCTTTGGTCTTGGCCATGGTGGAGAGTTTGGAATCTGATTGATTGATTGCTTCTGTGGACAGGTGTCTTTTATACAGGTAACAAGCTGAGATTAGGAGCACTCCCTTTAAGAGTGTGCTCCTAATCTCAGCTCGTTACCTGTATAAAAGACACCTGGGAGCCAGAAATCTTTCTGATTGAGAGGGGGTCAAATACTTATTTCCCTCATTAAAATGCAAATCAATTTATAACATTTTTGACATGCGTTTTTCTGGATTTTTGTTGTTGTTGTTCTGTCTCTCACTGTTCAAATAAACCTACCATTAAAATGATAGACTGATCATTTCTTTGTCAGTGGGCAAATGTACAAAATCAGCAGGGGATCAAATACTTTTTTCCCTCACTGTACATGTTGAGATTATGAATAAAAGCTAGATAATTTTTATTGGTCAATTGGCAGCGATCATCATGTCACCACCATACAAGTTAAGACCCTCGATATTTATTTATTGGAAATGAGCATCTATCTTATGACAGTGCACATTCACCACCCTGTGAAGTTCATCATAACTTATTTCATCGGTAGCCTAATAAACTGTGCGTGCTTTTCCAAGTCGTAGTGGCAGGACCAGACAACTTAGCATTACGTGACTGCAAATTTACCGCAATATGATGGTTATTCTATCAACAATTGCAATATCAACAATATTCAATAAAATACAAATGTTTTCACTGCCATTTGTAGCATGATCTATTTCACCAACAAAAAAAGTATCCACTCCTGTCAAATATATATTTTCTGTTGGCATTTAGGAAATGTACCCACATTAGGCCTGTCATGAGTTTTTTTTTTATCCGACAGGTAGTTTAATCCCATCAAAATGGTCGGATGGAAACATGGTTACTGACAAAAGCATTTCTTCAAGTGGCAGATATAAATGCATGTTTTGCCTTAGAACCTGGTCAATTTCACGTCATCCTAAAATAACTAACTATAGCATCCTTCTGTCCCTTGTCTATCCCTACCATCCATATCCTCTCCTTTTTTCCCATCCGCCCTCCCCCTTCTTCGTGTGCCCACCTTTCCTCTCCCACAAGAGTTTGAAACAGTGTGTCCCCCAGGGCCCCCTGGCTGCTGACCCAGGCAGCCTCCCCCTGCCACCCCAGACAGGGCTCAGCCCACGTGGTAAGGGGCGGACGCCCAGCGCCCCAGAGGTGGGGAAGGACAGAGGGCTGGAGCTGGTGAAGGAGAGACCAGAGGACATCCTGTCCCCGAGAGAGACGCCTGAATCCCTCAGTGACTCCCTCTACGACAGCCTTTCCTCCTGTGGCAGCCAGGGCTGACCGGCCTAAGGACCCAGGGACAGAGAGGGGAGCAGATGGAGAGACAGACCGACCGACACCCTTTAAACCCCTGCTAATGAGGCACACCCATCCCTTCTTGTAGTGGTGGGCCCAGCCCCTGAGGCAGACCGAGTTGAAGTACCTCTTCCACATACACCTCTTTCTGCTGACCCTCTCTGTATTACTGAGATCTGGTTAGAACTGCTGGAAAACTCACCCTCAGGTTGACTGATGTTCACACACACATACATAATTTGAGGAACTAGACTGAGAATTGGACACTGCTGTCCTCCAAGCAACAAGCATCATATGACAGACCAGCGCAACTCAAATGTACACACACACAGACACAGACACAGACACACACACACACACACACACACACACACGAGGGTTGGGCGGTATCCAGATTGCCATACCTTCATACTGACCTTGTGCCATACTGGGATATTCTGTAATACTGGCACTGAACACAAGGGGCACTATTTTCAAATCCCACTGAGCCTAATCCGAAGGTTAGCAATGCTAACAACTACATGTCAAGTCCTATAGAGAATGCTAACTAAATGCTAACATTTTATACAGTCTCTGACCTAAACTGTTTTCAGGACAGACATCCCAGCTCATAAAGTTATACAAGTAAATGCTACTCACAGTTTACTGCATGCACAAAACAAATATTAGACAGCAAGGCTCTTGATCCAGGAGGTGATTTTCTGCTGTTACTGGCAAGCGAAGCTCGATTTGGGAAAAAGCTAACCACTTAGCTAGATAGCTAACTAGCTACTGCAGCGCATTTAGCACATTTTAGACAGGTAACTTAATAGTTAAAAGATATCTAGCTGGCAAACATTTAGTTGTGAATTCCATACTATAACTAGATCACATGGCGCGTGCTGTACAACAGTGAGTGACTCACAAGGCTCTGGTCTCTCATCATTGTGTGCTTGTAAACAAACACCACGTGACTGGGGACTACGGTAAGCTTCATAATGAATAATTATGTGACAGGTGAAATGAAGAACGCAATTTTCTTTATCTCCTAACAGATTGCACAAGTTGACTGTAGGTATTTACAAAAATAATTGCTACAAATATTCACATTTTATTTTAAAAACTTCAAAGAAATAGGTTAAACGGAATTGACTGTATTGAAAAACCACCCCGTGGCTATTTCCAAATACCCCGGTATATGGTATACCGCCCAAGCCTAACACACACCGAGATGAATAGAAAAAATGTCACCTTGTTCGAGACAGGCAAACGCTCACTATGGTCTGGATCTGAAGAATCGTTGTTAAATAATGTAATTGGGATCATCGGTCCCCAAGAAGTGGCTGGTATCAGGGGTTTATCTTGTCTGCCCTGAATGTGGACATGTTTTGGTCACGTAGAACTGGGCTGCCTTTAATGCCAGATAAAAATAACACTAAATGTAGTGATGCAATGCAATGTAGTGATCGATCATAAATATGTCATAGACTTCCATGGTTTCAGTCGTAATGTAATTTTAAAAAACTGTTGTGCTTTATGTCATATGTTATATATCATGTTATTTTAACCCTTTACACTCATACACATATACGGGTTGAAAATAGCAGATTTGGGCACTGATAAACGCCTAAATTGGAATGCAGTGGCTGTAAAGTAACATGCTAGACATAACGTCAGAGCTCAGGCTCTGTGCTTCACAGCGCAGTATGGTATTTGACTGATAACCGTTCTGAACTTGAGCACCTCGCGCGACAAGATGTTGCCCCCATCCCTCCTGCTAATTGGGCAACTTTTACACATTTATGTTGTCTGAGTGAGGGAAATGCTGTAAATTTAAGAGGACTCTATGTATTTTGAAAGATGGATTATAATAAATACAGCTTTGATGTCATACAAGCAAGCCAAACACCCATGAATCCAAATGTGCACTTCACATTTCCATATCATAAAACTCATGTCATATATAGTGTTAACGTTTATGATCACTATGTTTGATGTACAGTTACAAGACAATATACATACCCTGGGTTGTTCTGAACAGAATAAGCCTATGTTTGTCTATTGTGAAGAAAATTTGCCACGGCACACGCACCTGAATGCACTCATGATGACTCCTTTCTATGCACACCAAAATTACGATCTGTTTCCCTGAATTGCATTGTGAAACTAACACTGTAATATCGTATTTTATAACTTAGCTAGTCATGTTGGAAATAGAATAAGCTTTCAAATGATGCCCACCTGACCCAGATTGCAATTGATAATTAACCGTTTTTGGATTGCATTAAAAACAACAGTAATTGTGTGTGAGGGTGGGGATGCAGGGTTGTGTTCCAACCAAAACAACTACAAGTGTGCTTGCTTTAGTTCCTGAACGGCACAGCTAGGAGAGCTCAAAAAGCACCTTATAGTTGAAGACTCTTCTTTGAGTCATAAAAGTGCATTGAACTTACTTAGGAACTGTGCACACTTTGGAGACGTGTGTAGCCACTCTCACTCAAACCGTTGTAATTTTTTAAATCTTATGTTGCACCTACCCCACATTTTCCAAGAATATTCTCATTATGTTACTGAATGTATCCAGAGTATTTTCAGATTTCGTTATCAACAAATGCGGCGAAATGTACAGTAAATGTAAAATGCACATATAATCAAGTGTAATGTTTGGATACAGTCTTGTGTCAGATGAACTATTGCCCTCACCTTTTGGTCTAATAATTTCCCCATAATCTTCAAAACGTTCCCTTTCAATTGCTACCATGGTTATGCATTTCATATTTCTTCTGTAAGAAGCATTTCAATTTAGCCCTATCCATCTAGGCCAATTCCCACGAGTGTAAAGGGTTAAGTTAAAGAAAAAAGTGTGGGTATGTATGGATCGATGGATGAGTGTATGTGAGTGAGACTTAATGCAGTGTGTCCACAATAGCTTTGACCATGTCAATGAGCTCTTGAAGTTCACACTTTCCCTGAAGCTGCCATATACTGTATTGTATCACAACTTACTGAAACACTGTCAAAGAAATCGACCTACTATCTGAAGTAACAGATAGTGGCAGATCAAGACAACAGCCATTATATTACAGTTATGGCCAGACATTACCTAGTAGTGTATGTGTTATGGACAATGAAATGCTAAGAATCTCAACCAAGAGTCAAATGTTTTACATGTGTTTGATCCATTGTCAGACTGTTTTACGTACTGAAACAGTTATGTCAGGAATAATGCCATTATAACAGCATTATAAAGGCAGCCTGTGACTGCAGTCATTAAAAATGTAATTCTCAACTGAGCTGCCATTTAATACTCAAAATGAGAGTTTGACATGCTGAAAGAGTAAACAAGTATTTATACGACTATAGACTGAGTTTACATACATGGGCCAGGATTCAATCCAAGGCGTGTTAAAGAGCAGCGTAATGTAACAGACTTTTGACGATAATTTGTGCTTTATCTGAAATGCAGCGTTTACCATGAATGTGATCTCCGTGAACGTCAGGGAAATGCCTTTAAAAGGTGCATTGTTGGCTGTTTAGTCCACTGCTCTATAACTCACCTTGGATTGAATCTTCTGACATTTCGTTTGGCACAGGGTACATGTTTATTCTGCCAGAAACAATTAAACCGATAACCCTACTTTGTGTCTACAAAATGCTCCACTAAAGCAAAAATATATAAACTCAGCAAAAAAAGAAACGTCCTCTCGCTGTCAACTGCGTTTATTTTCAGCAAACTTAACGTGTAAATATTTGTATGAACATAACAAGATTCAACAACTGAGACATAAACTGAACAAGTTCCACAGACATGTGACTAACAGAAATTGAATAATATGTCCCTGAAGAAAGGGGGGGTCAAAATCAAAAGTTAACAGTCAGTATCTTGTGTGGCCACCAGCTGCATTAAGTACTGCAGTGCATCTCCTCCTCATGGACTGCATTAGATTTGCCAGTTCTTGCTGTGAGATGTTACCCCACTCTTCCACCAAGGCACCTGCCAGTTCCCGGACATTTATGGGGGGAATGGCCCTAGCCCTCACCCTCCGATCCAACAGGTCCCAGACGTGCTCAATGGGATTGAGATCCGGGCTCTTCGTTGGCCATGGCAGAACACTGACATTCCTGTCTTGCAGGAAATCACGCACAGAATGAGCAGTATGGCTGGTGGCAGTCATGCTGGAGGGTCATGTCAGGATGAGCCTGCAGGAAGGGTACCACATGAGGGAGGAGGATGTCTTCCCTGTAACGCACAGCGTTGAGATTGCCTGCAATGACAACAAGCTCAGTCCGATGATGCTGTGACACACTGCCCCAGACCATGATGGATCCTTCACCTCCAAATCGATCCCGCTCCAGAGTACAGACCTCGGTGTAACGCTCATTCCTTCGACAATAAACGCGAATCCCACCATCACCCCTGGTGAGACAAAACCGCGACTCGTCAGTGAAGAGCACTTTTGCCAGTCCTGTCTGGTCCAGCGATGGTGGGTTTATGCCCATAGTCGACGTTGTTGCCGGTGATGTCTGGTGAGGACCTGCCTTACAACAGGCCTACAAGCCCTGAGTCCAGCCTCTCCCAGCCTATTGCGGACAGTCTGAGCACTGATGGAGGGATTGTGCGTTCCTGGTGTAACTCAGGCAGTTGTTGTTGCCATCCTGTACCTGTCCTGCAGGTGTGATGTTCGGATGTACCGATCCTGTGCAGGTGTTGTTACACGTGGTCTGCCACTGCGAGGACGATCAGCTGTCCGTCCTGTCTCCCTGTAGCGCTGTCTTAGGCGTCTCACAGTACGGACATTGCAATTTATTGCCCTGGCCACATCTGCAGTCCTCATGTCTCCTTGCAGCATGCCTATGACGTTCACGCATATGAGCAGGGACCCTGGGCATCTTTATTTTGGTGTTTTTCAGAGTCAGTAGGAAGGCCTCTTTAATGTCCTAAGTCTTCATAACTGTGACCTTAATTGCCTACCGTATGTAAGCTGTTAGTGTCTTAACGACCGTTC